TGAAATGAGTCCCATTGTCTGACTCAATTCTCTCAGGGGTACCATGCCTCCAAAGAACTTGTTTTTCCAGGCCCAGGATGGTGTTCCGAGCAGTGGCATGAGGCACAGGGTAGGTCTCCAACCATCCAGTGGTGGCTTCCACCATGGTCAGTACATAGCGCTTGCCCTGGCGAGTTTGGGGCAGTGTGATGTAGTCAATCTGCCAAGCCTCCCCATGTTAGAGTTAATAAATTAGAAGCTTCAAACACAATAAAGTTATAGTTTAAAATATTGCTTACATTTTTCAGTTAAAACAAAATAGGCTATATACGCAGTTTATACGTAACCTGGCGTGCTAAAATCTAAAATTCTAATAAGTGAAAAAGTAGTAGTTTGAGTTTATGTCTTAGCTTCTATAAAGTTTCTATAAGAGAACATGCTTGACAAAAGCATGTTTACATTAGTAAACACTTATTCAAATATCAGCATTAAGTTTTAATTTTCCTATAGTTAATTATTTAAAAAAACCCAACTTCTAAGTCTTTGCAATACCCTCATTATAAATTAATAAGTTTTTAATGTCTTTAAAAAAAAACTTACAAATTTATTACCAGTATTTTAGCTTTCTGTCAAACCAAATTGTAATAAATTTCTAGTTTACATTTCTCAAATTATCAATAAAATGCTTCCTAAACACAAATCAAAATGACTCCTAAAACCATCATTTAAACTATAAAATTTAATTTAAGCCAAAATTTCCTTTATATATATTCAAAAACCGAGCATTTCTCTATAAACTCACTTTTTAAAGCTCAAATTTAGTTTGCATATATAATTTCAAAACCATAGCATTAAAAGTATAAATTCTGTATTATAAAATATTTTTTTGATTTGTATTTTATTGTTTAACCTAAATTCTTTCAACATTCCAATTAAATTTAAAAAAACCCCTGCAAACATACCCCTACATCAAATGTATAAAAATAATCAGTTAAGCTGTAAATTTAACATTCCTTTGTTTTCATTTTTATTAATTCTCTCTCTTGTTTCAGTAGGTCTCCTATAACATAACCTTGTACTGTCTCATAGTTTTAAGTGTTTTTCAAAGTTCCTAAAAAATTATCTAAGCCTCGTTAAAAGTCTCTTCTGCATTACTAGTCTTATAGTTTTCTCCAGTTGTTATTACAAAAGTTTTCCAGCAGTCTGCCCCGTTCAAAGCATCTCTATCCTGAAAAAAACTTCAAAAAAACCAAACTGCAAAAAAATTTAAAAGTTCTCTTCCAATTAGAATTTTGGCAGTAGCCAGGCCGTAATTCTACCTGGAAGAGAAACTGTGTAAACCCAAGTGTTTTCTGCATCAAAATAAAACTCTAATAATTTTAACTTAGCAATTTAATCCTATCAATATGACAACTAAAACTAATTTTAAAGTAAATTCGTTGCTCATTTTCCAAAAATGATCATCTAATTCCTCATTAAATCAAAACATGTCAGCTGTTTGCAGACTCTAAGATGATAACACAGTGTTTTAAAAATTAATAATTATCTAATTTTATAAACAAATGTATATTATTTAAAATATTATATCTACATTATCCCTAATTGTAAGTTTCTAGTTTTACTACGTATATTATTAGAAGTAATTTTCTTCCAATAATTTAAAACAAAAAGTTTACTTGTATTCATACAAATGAATTCCAGTAAAAAACATAAAATCTTATCAAGTACAAAAAAGCACTAACCACTCCTCAATAAAAAAGCAAACACACAAACGTAAACTGCCAAAAACTTTTACTTACACCTAACGTCTCGTGTTTTACCTATAAAAAATTATAAACCTTAAGTTGTTTTTTCTTAAAAAAGGGGGAATCAGTAGCATTGTAAAATTTTATTATATAATAGTTTAAAAAAATAAAAGTTTTAATTTTATGTTATGCTTTTACTGCTTTGCTTTGTTTACTATTAGTAGTGCAAATTTATCAATTAACCAACTTAGAAATGCTTAAACAACTTTAGTTAATGTATTAAATTTAAATGTCGTATGTCTGTCCAACACAACCCCAAAAAAACTATTTTCACTTATTTAACTATCCTTGTAGTTACATTGTTAATGTTATTTATAATTTAAAATTTTATTTATTTTATTTGTATTTGTATTGTTAATTATATTGTTAATACAAATTTGTGTGTGCTTTGCCATAATAGCCACTTGCTACTAAATAAAATAAAGTTTTACTTTAATAACCAAGTTAAAAAAAATAAAACTAACCAAAACCCTCTTAAAATCATTAAAACCAAAACTAATTAGGCTGTGTTTGCCACCAAAAAAATTTTTAACTCCACTACTAAATACAACCCAGTAAATGTTAAGCAGTAAAAACACATACCATACCAAACCTTAAGGAAAAAATAACCTTCTTTGCTACCAAAAAGCCATAAAAAAAGCGCGCCAAACAGACTGCAAATAATATGTCAGAAAACAATTAAAGTTAAATAGTTTGTTTAATAAATTAAATTAGTTAAATGTTAAAAAATCTTTATAGTTCTAAGAGGAGGGGGAGATGTTAGAGTCAATAAGTCAGAAGTCTGTCTGAATCCTTCAGAGAGAGATCAAAATACAAAAATTAAATTAAAGCCTTTGAATGGATTGAAGTATGTTAAGCCACTCACACATAAGGCAAAGGTGAAAGTTTAAGTTTTACCATGAGTGAGCAAGTAAGTAAGTAAATAAAATAAGTAAGTAAATAGAATGAGTAAGTAAATAAAATAAGTTTTAAATGCTTTTAGTGAATAATGGTCTTAGATGCCAGAAAAGTAGTACATGTTCTAGTGAAAGTTAAAAAACATAGTCCTAAATACCAGTGTTTTCATAAAAACTCCAAAAACCTAGTTTCAAACATAATAAAAGTATAGTTTAAAATATTGCTTACATTTTTCAGTTAAAACAAAATAGGCCATGTACATAATTTATATGTAAGCTGGCGTGCTAAAAAACGAAAATTCTAATAAGTCAAAAAGTAGTACTCCGAGTTTACGTCTTAGCTTGTTTAAAAGTTTCTATAAAAGAACATGCTCAAAAAAAGCTGGTGCTTGTTATGCCGTTGCTTTTATACCATGTACTCTTACCATTGCTTTGCTTTGCTTTTGCCTTTGACTTTAAAACTAATGAACTTCTACAATAAACAGCTTTATAGTAACTATTAGCTACTTAGCTTAAAAAAAAACCCAAAACAACAATTTAGTACCTAAGAGCATCTGGAGAACTCAAACCTCACATCCCCATACTTATATTTGGACCATCGTCCGCCATACCAGAGGGGCTTCACCCGCTTGGCTTGCTTGATGGCAGTGCAGGTCTCACAGTCATGGATAACTTGAGAAATACTGTCCATGGTTAGATCCACCCCTCGGTCTCATGCCCACTTATAGGTGGCATCTCTGCCCTGATGACCTGAGGCATCATGGGCCCATCGAGCCAGGAACAACTCTCCCTTGTGCTGCCAGTCTAAATCTATCTTTGACACCTCTATCTGTGCCGCCTGATCTACCTGCTCATTGTGTCGTTGTTCCTCATTAGCCCGACTCTTGGGGACATGGGCATCTGCGTGGCGGACTTTCACAGGCAGCTTCTCTACCCGGGTGGCAATGTCTTTCCGTTCATCGGCAGCCCAGATTGGTTTTCTCCTACGTTGCCAGTTAGCCTTTTTCCACCTTTCCAGCCAACCCCACAGAGCATTGGCTACCATCCATGAATCAGTGTAAAGGTAGAGTTTTGGCCACTTCTCTCTTTCAGCAATGTCCAGGGCCAGCTGAACAGCTTTAAGTTCAGCAAGTTGACTCAATCCACCTTTTCCTTCAGTAGCTTGTGCAACCTGTCGTGTGGGGCTCCATACGGCTGCTTTCCACTTCCGGTTCATCCCCACGATGCGGCAGGGACCATCAGTGAAAAGAGCATAGCGTGTTTCATCTGCTGGCAGTTGGTTATACGGTGGGGCTTCTTCGGCCCGGGTCACTTGTTCCTGTTCCTCTTCGTCGGCAAGACCAAAGTCTTCCCCTTCCGGCCAGTTGGTAATTATCTCCAAAATCCCAGGGCGATTTGGGTTTCCAATGCAGGCGCGTTGTGTGATGAGGGCAATCCATTTGCTCCATGTGGCGTCAGTGGCATGGTGGGTAGAAGGAACCTTTGCTTTGATCATCCACTCCAGCACTGGTAGTCGGGGTGCCAGGAGGAGTTGTGTTTCCGTGCCAACCAACTCTGAGGCAGCTTGAACCCCTTCATAGGCGGCCAAGATCTCCCTCTCCATTGGAGTATAGTTGGCCTTGGACCCTCTGTAACTTCGGCTCCAGAATCCCAGTGGTCGGCCTTGCGTCTCACCAGGCACCTTCTGCCAAAGGCTCCAGGACAAACCATGGTTCCCAGCTGCAAACTAAAGCAGATTTCTCACCTCTGGTCCTGTCCTGACTGGGCCAAGGACTACCACATGAGCGATCTCCTCCTTGATCTGGGCAAAGGCTTGCTGCTGCTCAGGGCCCCAGTGGAAATCGTTCTTCTTGTGGGTGACCAGGTAAAGAGGGCTCACAATCTGGCTGTACTCAGGAATGTGCATCCTCATAGGCAAAAGCCTATGGCACCTAGGAAAGTTTGTGTTTCCTTCTTGCTGGTTGATGGAGACATTGCAGTGATCTTATTGATGACCTCAGTGGGAATCTGACGCTGTCCGTCTTGCCATTTTACTCCCAGGAACTGTATCTCTCAGGCAGGTCCTTTGACTTTGCTCTTCTTGATGGCAAAACCGGCTCCCAGCAGAATCTGGATGATCTTCTCTCCTTTCTCAAATACTTCCATTTCCGTGTTCCTTCACACAATGATGTCAATATAGGAGTGCTTGGAATGTGGGAAGAGCTTTAACTGCAACTCTGACCTAAACAAGCACCACAAGACCCACACTGGGGAACGGCCCTATAAGTGTGGGGAATGTGGGTAGTGCTTCAGACAGATTTCCCACATCCTCAGCCACGAAATGATCCACACTGGCAAACGTGAATGGCCCTATGAGTGTGGGGAATGTGGGAAGAGCTTCAGCAATAGCTCTGACCTCATTAAGCACCCGAAGATCCACATTGGGGATTGACCTATGAATGTGGGGAATGTGGAAAGAGCTTCAACCAGTGTTCCAACCTCATGAGGCACTGGCACATCCACACTGAGGAGAAGCCATATGAGTGTCCTGAGTGTGAGAAGAGCTTCTCCAGGAGCTCTTACTTGACCCAACACCAACGGAGGCACCACTAAGGGAAGCCCTGTGAGTGCCCCAAGTGCAGGAAGAGCTTCATGCTCTGCTCCAGCTCCATCGCCCGTGGGAGGATTCATGCTGGATAATCCACCAGTGACCCCCATTGGGCAGAGCCTTGCTGATCTATGATCCTGGTGATCCCTGTTGGGTGGAAGGAAGGTGTTGGAGAGATTTCTTTCCCTTCTCCTTGTCCTGCTGTGATTTGGTTGGTAATAAATTCAATCTCTGTTCCCAGGCTGAATCTGTTTTGCCCATGCTGGTGCTTAGGGTGGGATCTCTCCTGGTTCTTCTCTTGACTCCTGGGCCTTTCCTTGTATTTCCTGTCCCTGTGCAGTTGCAGAGGGTAGAGACTGAGCGGTTTTGGTGGCTCCCAGCACCCAGGCAGGGCCAGCCCAGCCCCAGGGGTTCCAAAGGACTTGTGGGGCCCCCCATTTGCAGGACATCCCTGCTGGAGGAGGGTGTCCCCCCTTGCTGCAGCCCCAGCCCTCAGGCAGTGCTCAGCCAAGCAGAGAACACCCTCAGCTGGGGCCTCATTTTTGGGCACCCCTGAGCCCCTGAAAATCTCAATCCCCATTTTGGGTTCAATTGAGCTCCTGAATATCTGGGACCCCATTTTTGGAGCTGGTTTTGGTTTTCAGGGCCTAGTTTTGGTAGCAGGGGGGTTCAGGGCTGGATTTTGAGATAAGCTGGTGGAAATTTCCTCCATGCCTGGCAGAGCTAATCCCTGGTGACTCCAAAGATGTAGGTGCCATAGGGATGCAGAGATCCCCCTGCAAGCCCTAGAGATCCATAGGGATGCAGAGATTCCCCTGCAGCCCCTGGAGGAGCCATGCTGGAGCACAGGGATGCCTGAGAGGAGTCTGTGACCCCGTAGACAGAGGGGCCCCCGCTGGAGCAGCCTGTCCTTGAAGGACTGACCCTGTGGCAGAGTGACCCACGCTGCAGCCGTGTGAGGAGGGCTGGTGCCCATGGGATGGACTTAGGTTGGAGAAGTTGATGGAGAACTCTCCAATGGGAGAGACTCCAGGGTGCAGCAGGGGAACGACTCCTGTCCCTGAGCAGAGGGAGAAGCTACAGGGCATGAACTGCCCACGGCCCCATACCCTGTCTCCCTGCACTGTAGGGGTAGGAGATAGAGCTGGAGGAAAGCAGGAGGGCTCGGGAAAGGTGTTTTGAAGGGTTTATTTTGCTTCTCATTATCCTGATCTGAGTTTGTTAGTAATAAATTCAATTAATATCTCCAATTTCGAGCCTATTTTGCCCATGGTGCTGTTTGATGAGGGAACTCTTCTGGTCCTTATCTCAACTCATGAACCCTTGGTTAAATTTTCTCTCCCCTGCCCAGCTGTGGAAGGCAGAGAGAGAGCAGCTTTGGTGGGCGCCTGGCGTCGGGCAGGCGTCACCCCGGCGTCACCCCGCTACAATGGGATATATCCTCGTGTGGCCCTGTGTTATGGTGCCACAGTTGCTGTTGCTTTTGGGTTTTATCTTTTGCATTAACTGCTTGTGAAGTGCTTGCAGTTTTCCTCGTGTTCCCTTGGCGCCGGCAGCCCCGTCCGTCTCCCTGCTCCCCCTCCCACGTTCCATCCCGGCTGGCGGAGCCTTGGAGCTGCCGTGGGGGCGGTGGGGCTGCTCTGGGGGCTGCGCCCCGAGCCGGGGACCCTTCCCAGTGCTTCCAGTCTGCCCATCCAGCCTGGAGCAGCCAGCGAGGGCTTCAGATGGGACGGCAGAGAGGCGCTGCTGGGGGAGAACCCAGCTCGCGTCGTTTTAATTGTTTCTTCCCAACATGGGGAAAAACTATTTTGGGAGTTTTCTGCCAGAAATCTCTCCCCTCCTCCACTCAGGAGAAGGGATTTGCGGCGGTTTTCCATTTTTGGGGGAAATCAAAGCCATGCACTGAGGCTCCTAATCAGGGGGTAGGAGAAGTGAGGTTCCAGGGCTTCCCGCTGAGCCGGAGCCAGTGAACACGCAGGGCTGGGAAAGGCGTGCCGGGAGCTGCGGAGAACTTTGTTTGTGTTTCCAGGCCAATGGCGACTCGGTCCCTGGCCCGTTCCAGGGCTGTTCCTCACCTCCGCCTTTCCCCTCACACAGCCCGGGGAGCCCTGAGAGCGCGGGCCGAGGCTGGGCCGTGTGCAGAGCCCGCCCCTCGCTGCCATTGGCTGATTGTGCCAATGTCACTCCTGGTTCTCGCGCGCTGATTGGGCAGAGCAGCAAAGGCGCCATTGTGGCAGCGTTTATGCGGACCCGCGAGTGGTGGCGGCGGCGGAGCTCGGAGGTGGCTTCAGCGCAGGTGGGAGCCGCGCTCGGTTCTGCGGGGGCTCGGGGCTCGCGGCTCGCTGCGGGCCGAGGGGGTGGCAGGGGGATCTGGCGGGTTGGTTGTGCCGGTCCCGGCCCGTGTTGGCGCTAGGCTGAGGGCGCTGCGGGAGCGGCTGCCCGCGGTCTCCTTCCCGCTGGGTCCTCGGTTAATAGAGTCTGATACCATCCCATGGTGAAATGACGCGTTCCTCGTTTGAGTGGATTGGTTGGATATTATTTCCAGGACAGCTTGTAAAGTAATTATGCAATTCAAATGATAAATGGTTTCTCTGGCTCCTGATATGAATTCATTAGGGTTCGCAAGGGCTGGCCCATGGTGTTGTAGGATTCGTTGTGGTGGCCGTTCATCTTTTCCCCATTTTCGGGCGCCTGTCCAGCCAGGGATGCATCAGTTGACCGCTTTTCTCTATTTAAGTAATTATATACTGTGATTCCAAAATGATTTCTGTGTACTTGTGGTATCTAAAAACACACAGTGGTTTAATATACCCTATATAACATAGACAGTGTCAGCACATGTTGGCGTGGGGAGAGGGATGATTCCCCCCACTTTTTTAGTAAATTTTTCACATTCTCCATTTGCTGTTTCCCTTTGCAGCTTAACCAATTTCTGTTGCAGTCAGATATCCTCACTATGGGCTCCACCTTTAGCTGTGCAAATTCCATCTATGCAAACAGGGATGAGGGTGAGGGACAGAGCGATGATTCCCTCCCCAGGCAAGAAGTCCCTGGTATATTGTCCACACTTTGCAGTGTTAATTTGCATTTCTAAAGCTCCTCTCCTGGCTTCCTGGAACCGATGCTTTTCCAAATGTGCCCCCCCCCCCCCCCAAAAGCCGTTTTGGGTTTTTTTGTTGGTTTTTTTTGTTTGTTTTTTTTTATATTCTCTTAAGTGTTTAAAAGTAAAAAGGTCACCTTTAAATGCCCTCTAGTTTTGCAAAATGCAACCAAAAGGTGAACATCGAAAATCCCACAACCTAATTTTGCCATCACTAGCAGCTACACATACACATACAGAAAAAAAATCCCAAGCGGTTAAGTTTTTTACTACATCTTCTCCTAAGACTAAAAACTCATTCTCACAACCCTGCCCCAAACCTACACTGGCGATATAAAAGTGGGATTATTATGAAAAAACATTCTAATGGTGTAACCTAATCCCAGGCAGCCCAGTGTGTGAGTGTAACTGAGGGGCAGAGTGGAATTGTGCCGTTGTCTTCCCCAGCAGCTGTGGCAGTGCAGGCACAGAAAGCAGCGAAGCTCCAGCAGTGGCAGCAAGGATTGGCCCCAGTGTGTGGAGATGCCAAAGGAGGGTGCCCAGGCAGAGGATTTCAGCAGAGGATCTGTGGGCAGGCCCAGGGGCTTGGCCCGATGTGGAGCCCTGGCTGCTGCTGCGTTGCCTTCAGTGCAGGGTCAGTGGTGCCCTCCCATGCTGCTCCTGCAGCCAGGAATTCCAAATCTCTGGGGCTTGAGAGCCCCTGAGCCCAGGGTGAGGGGTCCCCCCGTGTTGAGCTGTGCTGGCGGCTGTTTCTGTGCTCAGGGACTCTTGGAATGGGCCACGGCACTTGGCCACCAGTGGTGCTTCTTTGCACTCCTTAGGCAGGACCCGATGTCCTGGGTGGATGTTGTGAACAGCAAAGTGCCAAGGCAGGCTCTGTGCCAGCCCAGCTTTCTGTGGGAGAGATTTCATAAGAGACAGGATTCTGGCCACAGACTGCTTGAAATATACATCCCTTATCTCCACCCCGCACTAGGTGGAGAATTACCAGGGTAAGGAATTCCAAGCGAGATAACTGAATATCTGCCCTGGGTCTGGCTCTTATTCTTGCCAAGGCCAATGGCAAAAGCCATACCTGTGGCATCTTTGTTTCTATCACCAGCTTCCAAAGGTGTTTCTTTATTTCCCCATTCATTCTTTCCATCCAGCCTGAACTCTGGGGGTGCCAGGAGTTGTGGAGGTCCCATTGTATTCCTAAAGCAGCCATAACCCCCTGAAGGACTTTTCCTGTAAAATGAGTTCCCCATCTGAGTCTATTGCTTCCACAATCCCTTATCTTGGAATTATTTTTTCCAAAAATACTTTAATAATTAATCCAGCAGTTGCTGAAGCAGTTGGAAATGCTTCTGCCACCCTGTTAGCTGACATGAAGTTAGTTACCAGAAGATATTTCAGCCTTCCCATTCTGGGTCATTTCAATAAAATCCACCTGGCATTGTTGGAAAGGAGGTACAGCCCAAGGCCTCCCTCCCTTGGCAAGTTTCTTTCTAACCTGGTTATTGGCTTTGGCACAAGTCAAGCAACCTTCAACAGCTCGTTTTGCCAGAACAGAAAGACCCAAGGCAGGAGATCTTGAGGGAGGTGTCTGCCAGTCCTCAAGAGCCCCAGCGATTCCCTTCATGGAGTTGTTGTAATAATTGTAGGGTCAAAGCTTTTGGTGTCCATTGTTTACCACCCTTTGTAAACCAAGTATCCCCTTTTTCCTGTGCCCCGCTGTTTTTAATTATCTCCAACTCCTCTGGTGGGAAAGACGCTTTCTCTGTCAGCGGTTGAGCCACTGGGAGCAAAGGGAGGATCTTGGAGCCTTCTGGCAAAAGCGCTGCTTTCTGAGCCTCTTCCTCTGCCAGTCCCTGACCTATTTTCTCCCTCGAGTACCCTGCCTGGTGTCCCCTAACGTGGATTGTTGCCAGCCCTGTTGGTAAACTTACCACCTCCAGTAGGTGAGTAATTAAACTCTCATGAGTGAACATTTTTCCTCTGCAGGTTAACAAAGCTCTTTCCTCCCACAGTTTTCCAAACCCATGGACCACCCCACGTGTGTACTTAGAATCAGTAAAATCATTCACTGTTTTTCCGATATAATTCCCAGGCACTCACAAGTGCACACCGCTCCTCTGTCTGAGGTGACCCTGTAACATCCCCCCTTCCTCTAATTCCCTTCCCTTAATAGCAGCATTTCCTGTGACCCATTTCCCTATTCCTGGCCTTGAAGACACACTCATAAACACATTTTCTCCCTCAGGCCAGGGAATGTCTCCTAAATCTCTCCTAGGCTGGCTCTGGAGCTGTCACTTGAATGCAGTCATGGGTTTGTTCCCAGCCCCCTGTCCAGGCTGTTCAAACAGGAGCCTGGGTTAAACCCTTCCCCTGTCCTCAATTCTAAATCCTCCTGTGCCACTGAACAAGTTTCATTCTGTAATCACTGAGCACTGCTCATCCGTGTAGAGGTTTTTTTGGTTATCAAAGGTTTAACTTGGTGCCAGACTTGAACAACAGGAGATCTCCTGCCTTCAGTTTTTGGGTCTCAGATCCCATTAAAGCTGTGGCTGCACAATTCTGCAGACAATGAGGCCACTCTGGCCACTGGGTTAAACATTTTAGCAGAAGAATTCCTTTGGCATGGCCCTGTTTAACATCCTCATACGACTCAAATTCATTTTCCCTGTCTGGAAGGGCCAGGGCAAGAGTCTCAGTTAATCTGCTTTTTAGCATTTGAAAATTCTGCTTTCCTCCTGGTGTCCATCCATCCAGTTTCTTGACTGGCAGGATAGGAGTGTTGTAGGGAGAGATCCCTGGTTCCAAAAACCCTGCCTTTAGCAGGGACTCAATAAGAGGCTGTAAGCCCTTCCTTCCCTCCCTTGAAATAGGGTATTGCTTTTAGACACCACTTGTCTTGTTTGCTTCAGAGTAATTTTGAGAGACTCCATATCTAATTTTCCTCATTTTCCTGGGGCTGCCCACACGTCTGTGTTCACTTCAGCATAGGCCTTGCCAGACATTTGTCACAAAGGTACAAAAGCATTAGCCTCTGTATCACTATTTAAAATACTAATTTGCATTCCAAATTTAGCCATCAGATCCTTTCCCAGTAACTTACAATGGCAGTTAGGAGCAAATAAAAATTAATGCTTTTCAACCCCATCCCCCACATCTGCTAATAGTGGTCGAACAAAACACACCCACTTCTCTTTCCCACTTATGCCCTAAATAATCAAAGAATTCTTGACATTTTTCCCCCCTTAGGTCAAAGATTGAAAGTGGATTGAGAGGTCCCTGCCCCTGTCAGGAAAGGCCTCCTCTCGATCCAGATCCACCCTGAATGTTCTCAAGGGCCCCCATGCGCTGTGTCCCTGGTCTGACACCCCTGATAATGCATGTCCATGAAGGGCGTTAATTTGCTCCTCCTGAAGGTGCTCCTGTGTCTGCTTCCAGTGTCCTTGTGCCCTGCAGATGGAACCCTGATTCCTTCCCAGGGGCTGTTTGGGTCGGCCCTCCCTTGCCGAGGAGGGCCATGCCTCTGCCAGGTCCTTGTGGCCAATTCCATCCCCTGGGTGCTGGAGTCCCCTTGGGCCCTGGGGTTCATCCCTCAGGGGCTGTAGAAACTCTGCTATGGCCTTTGCCTTCCCCTTGGCCTTTTCCTCATCCCTTCTTGCATTCCCCTGCTGTGCCTTTGTGACCAACTGCTCCAGGGGCTTCTTCTGCCCCTCAGTGCCTGGGGGTGCTCATCCTCTGACAGCTGCTGAGCTTTCTGCAAAATCATTCCTTTCTGCAGTGACCCAAAGAAAATGCTTAAAAGCTAATCTGGGTGCTTGCCCGTCCAATGCCCATTTCCCAGCTGTTCCTTTGTGCTGCTGCTCCTTGTGCTGTCGCTGCCGTGGCCAGCCCGTATCCCAGAGCCGGTGCCTGTCCTGCCGCAGTGTCCAAACGCGGCCCCCCCGGCGGGCAGGGCCGGCAGCTCCACGGGGCCGGGCAGCGGCCGGGGCGTCCCGCAGCCTCCTGGGGGCCGGGGGCCACTGCCGGGCCTGCAATTGCCGGGGGGTGCTGGGCTCAGGCAGCGCCCGGCGCTGAGCCCCGGCTGCCCCACAGCCCCGGCCCGGCCCCGCAGCTCCCCACAGGCCCCCAGCCCGTGCTCCCGGTCCCGCACTTCTGCGCCCGCTCCTGCCGCTGCCCAGCACAGAGAAACCCCCTGGAATCCTGACCTCCTTGTGTACCTGTCCTGGGAACCGGGGATACAAAGGATCTGGATCAGCTGGCAACTTCTGAGGATAAGAGCCTGCTGAAAACATCCCAATTGTGACAATTGATAAAAGATTCGTGTTAATCACAAAAGCATTGGGGTTTGCATAAACCAGAATACTAAGCTCTGAAGTGAAGCATGGACACTAGATAAAGGAAATTATATGATTAAATAATTCTCTTTAAAATCACCTTGTTATATTATATTATGTTGTATTATGTTACATTACATTATGTTATGTTTTTCAAATAAGTTGTATCGGCTACCAGCTTGCAAAATCGGACTTCCCAAAAAGCCCTTCCTACCTTTGTCTGATCAATACTGCCTATCCCAAAAAACAGACTCCCAGAACTTCTCTAGTGGTTATCTACAAAGACCAGACCTCCAGAACTTCCCTGGTGGTCATCTACAAGGACCGGATGGCAATCTGTGACTGATTATCACCCAAAGGCTTTGTGAATTTCTGAACAACGAGAACCCACAGTATAAGAAGAGGCTGCAAACCAAGGTTCGGTGGAGCGTGGAGTGGGCGGTGACCCCTCACGTTCCCCAGCGCGCTGCTTGCTCTTTCTATATCAAATAAAGCAATCTAAAATTTTGCTGAATATCGAGACTTTTGTCTCTCATTTATAACACAAATCCTCACGATTTTTCTCTTCCTCCTCTTTTCCATCTTCCTTTTTTTTACCACATAGATTCCTCCTGCTGTTTCTTGCCTGAGCCATATTCCTGCACACTCCTCTTCAACTAATCCTTTCCCAGCATACCAACCCTATCCATCCCCTGTTGTTCAGATGCTTTCTCGACCTCCCTTACTGCTGCCCCGCCCCCCCCCTCCCCGCCCTGGGTGTCCACATCCTTAATTAGCTTGATTAGCTCTGTGAGAATGTGCGAACTACCTGAACGTTCTGTCCTTTTGTATAACATACTATATTCATGGCTCTATTAAATCTATGTTCTTCTTGAAGTTCAGGAATTCAGCAGGATTTTGGTGTGAAGTCTGTGAATTCATACCCTTTTCTGAAACTGATGGTTTCTCCTGTTACTTGCTTACCTACAAGTCCCTGGCCCTATCTCCGAGTAGATTCACGTCATCTGTAAAGACATATTCATTTATTCCTTTCAAAACGATGGGAAAGGGGGAGAGAAGCCATAAAAGGACATTTAGGACCCCTAGACTGAATAAAAAAGGGGGGTCAGTCACCCCAAACCGGGCCAGGCAGAGCTGGGATTGAGGAATGATGGAAAGGGGTAGGGGAGGGGCCATAACCGGAAAGGGGATCGTGTAGGGGTCTCTTTGTGCCCCTTTCAATTCATCCCTGGAGTGATTCTCCAGGGCTGTGGGAGGGGATGGATTTGGACTGGCGGGGGTCTCCAACCCTCTTGTCCATCCCTGGGGGATTTCTAGGAGTCGTTCCCCCCATCCAGCAGCCGGTGCTGCAGCAGATGTGGGGCAGAGTGGAGTATGAGAGAGGGGTCCAGGGTTGGCACGAAGGAGGAGGGGAGGAAGAGAAGGGACAGAGGAGAATGAGGAGCAGGAGAAGCATGAAGTTGCATCCTGCAGGTGGCCAGGGAAGAGGAGGTCGTCCCAGATATATCAGAGAGTTCTCAAGAGAGTTTTTTTCTGTGGAGAGTATTTGGAGTTTGCAGATTGCAGACTTGAGACCCAAATAACTTTATCAGTCACTGGGAGGCCTTGGTTTTTTGGGGGGATTTTGGATCTTGCAGGACCCCAAAGTTGAGCTGCAGTTCTGCCTTTGGTGGATATTTTCGGGTCCACGTGATGTTCACCAGGTTCTGGCAGGGGGAGGATATGGGTCTTTGTGATACCCCAAGAGAGTAGTGATGGGGAAAGGACCCCCAAGACCTCTGGAGTGGGAAGAGTGGAGAGCTCATCCAGAGCTGGAGGACCCCTGGCAGCCTGAAGGGCAGAGCAGAAATTCCTGGAGTGTGGGGACCCCTGGGATCTGTGGAACCCTGGAGCAGAAAGTCAGGGAAGAAGGAATCATTGGACTCTCAAAACCCCCTGGGTCATCTGTAAGCAAGAGCCCAGAATGGGGGCACTCAGAGCCATGGGACCCCCATCAGCCCAGCTAAGGGAAACCCCCAAAACCCAGAGCAGAGAGATGAGAGAGGCAGATCTCCTATGAGGGTTTTTTGGGGGGATGAATCTTGATGCTTCAGGGAATTTTATGGACACAAAACATCCGGTAACTTCCTGAGATGGACTTGGTCAGGAGGAACCCCACCCTAAGGCACTCACCCCTTGTTTTTTGCCCCAAACCAGGATTTGTCATTCTCAAGCCTTGGCCAGATGGAGGAGAAAAAGCCCCAGAAATCCCCCATGGGGAGGAGCTGCAAATCCAGCTCAAGGAGCTGCAAGGAGGAAAGCTGCAAGGCGGCTGGAGATCCAGACAGGCTTTGGAGCTGGTGGAGCAGTCTCAAGGTTGGGAGAAGCCCCACAAGTGCTTGGAATGTGGGAAGGGTTTCAGCCGGAGCTCCAACCTGATCCAACGCCAGGTGATCCACACTGGGGAACGGTCCTATAAATGTTTGGAATGTAGGAAGAGCTTCAGCTGGAGCTCCAATCTTACTAAGCATCACAAGATCCACACTGGGAAATCGCCCTAGAAGTGCTTGGAATGTGGGAAGAGCTTCATCCATCCACACTGGGAAATCGCCCTAGAAGTGCTTGGAATGTGGGAAGAGCTTCATCCCTTCATCCGGAACTCCAACCTCATCAAGCACTGTAATATCCACATCAGGGAACAGAAACAGCCCTATCAGTGCTTGGAATGTGGGAAGAGCTTCTGCTGGAGCTCCCAGCTCATCATCCACCATTGCATCCACACTGGGGAGAGACCCTATGAGCGTCCCGAGTGTGGGAAGAGGTTTTACACCAGCTCCTATCTCCTTCTACATCAGCCAATACACACAGGGGAGAGGCCCTTCCACTGTCCCGACTGCGGGAAGTGCTTCAAGCAAAACTCCCATCTCATCACCCACCAGCACATCCACACTGGGAAGAGGCCCTGCAAGTGTCCAAGTGTGGGAAGAGCTTCTCCAGGAGCTCTCACTTGACCCAACATCAGCGAAGCCACCGGTAAGGGAAGAGCTTCGTGTGCTCCTCCAACTTCATTCCCCCATGGGAGGATCTGCATTGGATGAACCCCAGTGACCTTCATTGTACAGAGACCTGGTGATTTATGGTCCTGGTAAGCAATGTTGGAGAGACACCTGGCTGGTGGGTTCCACGTCTTTGCAACTCCTCACGGGCACCTGGATGAATGCAGGAGCAGGAACATCCATCAGGACACGGATTATCTTCAGCAGTTCATTGGGGAGTGCTGACTGTTTGACTTTCAGCCCCATAAATCTTACCTTTCGTTTTCAATTATTTCTTCTGGTGGCAGCAGGAAATACTGGTTGATCTTGGACATCTTTTCCAACTTAAATAATTTAATGATTCTAATTCTCTCTGGCCCTCAGGCGTTGTCTTGGGGATGGTTTTTTATCCCATACCTTTTGTGGGTGTTTTTTGTTTCTGCCGTAGTCACTGGTCCTCCCTCGGTTCTCCTGGCTCTGAGAGTATAGGGATGGGTGAGAGCCAGCTCAAATTTCCTGTGGAGTTGGGGGAAGCTGTGGTTGTCTCTTTTGGTCGGGCAATCTGCACAATGGCCATTCAGTGCAGTGCCTCTGACCAGAGATACTGTTGCCTTGTGGATATTGCCTGTTTCTTTTTGTTTCTTTTCCTTCGGCACTGTGACTGCACTTACTGGCTTACTTCTCTGGTTCTCTGCTGCTTGGGAGCCCAAAGCCAGTGTGTGCCATGCTGGGACCTGGGACCAGGAGCACCCCATCCCCTGCCAGGGGCCGCCCCCTCTGCGCAGCTTCACCAGGGACCAGCCATTGCAGATGAGCTAACCAGGGGAGTAATTTCCCTCTCAGCCCCTCTGCTCTCCCTGCTTTTTCAGAGCTTCTTGCTGCACTGTAACCCAATATCCAGACACCCTGCAGCTTTGGGCATGGCCCCAGAGTTTGCTACCTTTTTTTTCCAACTCCCAGGTGTGCCGGCATCTGCCCTTCCAGCCACTGCTCCGAGGTTCCTGCTACAGCCCATTTCACCACCTGGATGGGCACTGGGATCAGCTGCCCCAGTGAAGTTGTAAAGGAAGCCCCTTTTCCATCTCTCCTCCAGCCCACCCACCATTTCCACATGCAGAGAGGCAGCCGAGCCCGCGCCACAGTGCCCCCTGCAGCCGCGGCGGAATCATCGCACCCGCCCCGCCCACCGGGACCCACCAGCGCCCCTGCCGGCTGTGCCTGGAACTGTACCTGCGGCTGAGAGAAGGCTGTTACTGGGTCTGTGGTTCTGTCTATTGGTTCTGCCGTTGTATTTGTTTGTTTGCCTTGTCACACACACACACTCTAGGAAAGAACTGTTATTTATTTTCCCATATTTTTGCCTGAAAGCCCCTTAATTTTAAAGTTACAATAATTCGGCGGGGGGGTCATTCCCATTCCAAGAGAGATTCCCACCTTCTTTGACAGGCACCTGTCTTTCAAACCAAGATAGATTTTGGCACCCAGTGTGGGGCCTGAGAGCACTGAGAGGAAGGGATGTAAAAGGAATAACAGTTCCTGGTAACCTACTTTTTCTGTGCAGAGTATTTAAATTTTGTTAGGTGGTACCATGTGTTTAGCTTATCCTGGTTCAGTTGGCACGTAGTTGTGGCTGTATTTTTCTCATTTGTAGCTCCTTATCTAAACATGGGTCCTATGACTAAGGTTACTGTGGCTGTTATCCAGTGTTTGCACAATGGGTCAATAATGTGAGAAATTAAGGGATTTTTAACTTCTTGAAAGCAGGCACATGGATGCATAGCTAGCACACACTAAGTGTAAGTTTTTGGGGTTTCGTTGATAATGGCACCCAAACCTTGGCCTGAGCAGCTCGTGAGACGTGAGAACTGACCTGGGGGTCCCAACCCAGAGCAGACCCCAGGTCCTTTTGGGGGCTGAGCTGTGCACTCCTGAGCTTCTCCGTGCTCAGAGCTACCCCACCAACACAGGATGTGACCTCTCCAGTGGTGCTGAGGTTCCACTGTGTCTCGAATGTCATCACACTGGGTGCCCAGCGAGCCTCGGAGCCTCTGCCACCCTCCCGCCCATTGACCTGTAGCCCCCAAGCTGTGCAGCCTGGAGGGGTCTTTACCCCAGGGTGAGGGGCTGCTCGGCACCCCCTGCCCGAGGGCTGAGCGGAGCTGGTTGGGATCACCCCGCTCGTCTCAGCCTCTCGAAGCCGCTTCCCCAGCTCCGGCTGCCGCCGCCGCTCGGCCCCGCCGCCGTCCCGCGGAGTCGCCGCTCGTCGCGCAGCTCGAGGGGCTCGATCCGGGCCGCGCCCCGCCCGTCCCTCGCTGCGGCTCCTTCAGTGACACGGGGCGGCCGAGAGCCCCGGGTTGGGTTCTTTTATTGTATTTTATTCTATTTTCTGTG